CTTTAAAACAGTGATTCAATTGTCAAGATATACCCGATCTAAGTAGTTCTTAAACATATTCCACTATTTAAATGTTTAAAAATAAGTAAAAGTATCTATAACGTTTTTAAAAATCTACCACGAAATTCTATACAGGGAGAAATTTGTTTTCTTGGCTCGACCGTACTCTGCCCTGATCACACATCATGAACAATTTACTGGCAGTTTATTATGAAAGCTGTTGGACGTGACCGAAATGAAGATGTCTAGATTTAAAGATCCCCGATACGCAAACGTAAATAACGATACTCTTGGTTAAGTCAATGGTTTATGACACTTTAACAATAGGCTATCGTTATGTCAATGTTTAGGAGTTTGCAGTAAGAAAGGGGATCTGTGTAAGGTCTTTGTAACATAATGTTAATATAAATCTTGTTGAAGTTCTAATAGGGTAGTTTCCTAAATTTTATTTTAATGTCCGTCTGGCACATTAATTTAAAACTTTAGACACGTATTTTATCATTTCTCACAATTTTAAATACTTTCGACGATATATTAATTTGAAATATCGTGTGACATTCTGTAGCACGTTATATCCTCCGACCTACTGTCATTTTATCTAAGTATTGCAACTTAATGCGAGAAAATTAAAAATACGTGTCTAATATTTTTTCATTATCCAACTGACGAACTAATTAGATTTTTTATTTTGATACCCTGGGAACTACCCAATTATTTCTATATCCTCTCCTAATTTTCATTTGGACTTCAATACTGCAAAATATAAAGTACCTACTTCTACTTAAGCACGCACCAAATGTCTGTACGTTCGTATTCCGTGAACTGGCACTCGCACGTCGCACGTCCGTCGTTTATCCGATTAAATTGAAAGTTTGTTTAAGTAGTCGTTGTTGGCATTTGCGTGAAAGTTAGTCCAAGTCAGTACAATAGGCGTCGAGTCCTATGGGAAAGGGAGGCATATCAACGAATGCGAGGTATTAAAATGTCAGATTTACTAGATATTGCCCAATACCAGCTTTACCTACTCATCTAGCAACTAATAAAGTAGTATTTAGTAAATCAATAGTGAAGAAACTCGCAAGTTATTTTGAAAATGGTTTCATTTCATGTCGTCGTCATGGAAACCATTTTCATATAATATTGTTTTGTATTTAATTGTTTGTTGATAATTGCTCCAAAGCTTACAGCCTCCTTCACAGGCCCGAGTAATTTATACTAACTTGAAATAAGTCTTTGAGTGTGATAAGACACTTTCTTGTAGGTAATCGTGTCAGAGTGACGAAGGATCATTTGTTAGGCTTAACTCCTGAGCAACGTATCAAACTTTTCGTTTGTTAAAATAATATATTATGTACTATTTTCATAAATAATAATAAGTATGACGGCTTAACATGTACGGACCTACATTATGTGTCAAAAATTTTAAAGACGTAATTTAAGGCAAATTAATAAACAATTTCGCAGTAATTGAAGATGTAGGGCGTGAAGTAAAATAATAGTCTGTCCGAAAAGTCTCAAAAGAATATTTAATTAGAATTCATATATTATATGCATACCTATATAGTTTAATAGAGGAGCTAAATTAGTCTTCCTACGGTAAGACGGTACGGTTGAAACCACTGTATTATTACATTCCATATGCATTAACAGATTCAACCGCTTCAGAATCATATGCATACCTAATATTCAATAATTACAGTCTATTACCACTGATTGAATAATAATTAATCAATTATATTATCACCTGGTCCTGCACATAGCGTAGGTATATTTGCTGAAATGGGCGCTAGGAATACTTTTGAGGTCCCGAACACGAGTAACAATTACACTAACTAGAAATATAACGAAACCAATCATAGCAGAACAATTATTTATCAGTGTTCCTCTCTGCTAACGATGCCGGTGGACCGTTTGAGACACGTCGGGATTGTACGTAACGTATATCGACATTCTGCGCTGTGAACGGTTCCAACTGCCTTCCTTACCCATTATATCACGTTTATACATTTTGTTTTTTCACGCAGGTAATTTCCAGTCCCGGACTCCCGCCCGACCAATAAACATTTCATGCCGTACCTACATTTCTTTATCAAGGGGCCATGGCAAACAGATTCGGCCGGTTGAGCTTTCAAAAAATTTAACATAAAACGTTGGATGTTAAAAAAGTTCATTTTATCTTTTGGTAACAGATCGTAGATAATTATTTCAAACTTTTTAGCAAAACGAGGTCAGCGTGAACGAGCGTAAATTAATTATTTTATTTAACCGGCTACTGTTACTAGCTGAGCCGTTTAATAAAACATAAACCTAATTGGTCTTTCCTGTTTACTTCATATTCGTGTTCGTGTTTCAATTTATAAGTAGGTGTCTACGCCATAGACTTTAATTATCCGTCCTTAAATTACATGTTATCTTAAGTTCAATTGGCTGGCGTCAAATTTAATATGATTTTGATGTTATATCCTACGTCTGTCTGAAAACGAAATATTTTGAAGAAAATAAGTTCCACATAGGACTCGAGTCAAGTTTAAAATACCCGTCTTATTCTGTATAGTAAAATAATTAAACCTAAAGTAAAGAAAAATGTGCAAGCTGTTTATTAAAAATCTCCCTGAGCTCTTGCATCGATTTTGTCTTTTATTAATTACACCTGGCCGGCGATGGCGGTGGAAGAAGCCTGTTGACTGTTATACACTCGGTAACTCGATAATTGACCATCAATAACGTGTTAAACTGATTTTTATTTAGAAAGAAATTGTTCGGTTTATTTTTGAAACCCAAAAGAATATGTAAAGAGTAAAAGAGCGTATTTAAAATTAGTTTAAAAACGGCAGATCTCAAAATTAATGAGCGCTCCTAAAACTATTTTGTACTTATAATATTTTTTTGAAAACCAATAAAAAAGCAACAGCCAGCACTGTCTTTAAAATAATTTGCAAAATTTGCTCTGTAGCCAGTATAAAAGTGTTGTTTAAGAGAGTAATTAAATTATCTCAAAAAATAGCCTTCGATTAAATTTATATTCGATACCAGGATACCAAACCTTGTACCTATTTTAGTTTCATTTTAGGAGAACACAGGTAATAAGTCAATTACTGAAAAAGGCTTTTGTACAGAGCGTTGTAAAATTTGATAACGGAACGAGTGGAGATCAGGTTCATGCATTGCAAATCTAAATTGCAGTGGACGGTGGAAGCGACTGGAGCGCCCTCTCGCGACATATTTGCTACCAGTCGAGCGGTCACCACTTCTCTTTGTAATACAACATGCACGTAACCTACTGTGTACCAGTATCGTGTAACTCTTTGTAGCGAAGCATTGTCGCGAACGAACAACACAAAACGACGGGAAAATTGCACTAACATGCTTGTAATGAGATACGCAAATATGCCATGTTTTTTGTACGTTATTCAATCTGTTGAATACACTTCCAACATGTGTTTTCTTCCGAAAATAAATTTTACAGTTGATATATATTCGTACATGTATTTCTTTTAACTTTATGTTAATAAGATAGCTGGCGTTTGTCTACGTATGGAGTATAATATCTATAAACAAAATTATATGCCGTGTTGAATAGAATTAATATTGTATTTCAGAACCTCGGTTACTATGTAATCAGAATAAAATAGAATTGGTAGCAACAACCCGAGTAATTTATAAGAACTATAAAAATTGCTTTCATAGCTCGTACCTTTTTTAAGTAGGTTAATTAGTTGAGATTCTGGATAACTTTATAACCAACAATATTTATTTGTCGGTACGAGGAGAATAATCCGATATTTTTCTTTGTGGGATTTCTAAGAAAGATATGAAATACAACGATTATATTTCCACAAACTACCTTAATAATAAGTAAGATATTGTAAACCAAAGTTTGTAGCGCTCGTAGCGCTCGTAGCACTCGTAGCGCTCGTAGCCGCTGGCGTAGGTTATTGAACCAAATTGTAACCATGTAACCTCTCTACGAAAATAACAATTTGATTTCTGAAGTTTATAGCAACAGATAATATTATGAAACACACTCGATATCTTTATATCAAATGTTACTAACATAACATAACATCACGCCTTTTATCCCCGAAGGGGTAGGCAGAGGTGCACATTACAGCACTTAATGCCATTGTACAATGTATGTAAGGGAGTGAGCCTATTGCCATATACTGGGCACAATTGCAGACTCCGTGCTATTACTGAGATTTTTTTAAAACCCAATAATGCTTTGCCCGACCCGGGAATCGAACCCGAGACCCCTTGCCCGGCAGTCACACTTGCGATCACTCGGCCAACGAAGCAGTTGTTACTAACATTACAATACTTTTTATGAATCAAAATAAAGTAAAAATTTAATCTAAACACAAACGTAAAAATTATTTTATGTTTTTACATAAATATCGTCTCCTCAAACACTATCAGTGAGTTTCAAAAACTTTATATAATACACCTAGTTCCTATAATTGGTTCCAAATATGCACGTATTCAACGAATGGATGGTTATGATAACAATCCACATGAACGAATAACGTGTACCGCGAGCTATTCGCATTCAACACCAAGGCAAAACGAATGAAATACTAAATTAGTAACGTACCACCAATTCATCACTCAGTTTATACGGAATTACATTTTGGTTAGCAAGTAGCATACCTGCATAGTGCATGCAAATGAACTTACTTAACACACCCACAACACTAAGCCTGCTACTATTGAAATTAGTTTACTGAATCAAGATATTATAAAAAAATTAAATACTTTTTAATTAAAAATCACTCGGTTAATGTAGTGCAAACGTCTACCTAACATGTTGCTTCGGCATGTCTAGACCGCTGCCGTTCCAGATCAGATATCCGCATACAAGTGCTATTCAAATTTCCATACTTTTAAATTTTGTTGACGAACCGAAAACCTGGGCTTTAAAAGCTAGTGCGTCACCACTGCTAGAGCAAAACCCGCATGTGACAGATAAAGTGGAGCAATCTGAAATTACCTTTTTTTTGCAGAGTGCAACCCGGAGATCTGTGTGGAAGAGACGAAGCCTGAAATGCCATCAGCCCCGCTAACCAGTGAGTCCATTGCAAGCTTTTTACAACATACGAAACGAACTCTCAGTAGTTAGTGCACCTCACACACTTCCAACAAAACCAAACAAAACTTTACTTCAATGGAAACCACTCAACACTCGTTCGAATCGCTCGTCGGATTTAAGAATTCGTTCTTGTTTTCCTGAAGTTCCGTTGTTCCGAGGCAATTAACTTTACCATCTCACAATATGTATTTTAAACTCTGAACTGAATTTTAAAATATGAACGAATTTTCAGCAAAACACAGTCGAAAAGTGAAAAATATAAAATGTATTTATATTAATTATGACCGCTTCAAAATTAATGTAGAATATTAAAATTAATGCGATAAATTAATAGACATAAGCTGGTGTGAGATTTATAATGCTTTGTTCCATATATCAAATATTTTATTGGTTTATTTAGACAATTATTACAATTACTAAATATGGACTCCAAAAAAATTTACTAAAAACTGGATATGGTGAGTCCTAGCTAGGCTTGACCGCCTCTAACTGATTTAATTTATAAAACTAAGTAGCGTCTTTACCTTCTCTGTTATCAGTTATACCCATCCTTGTTTATCTTAACTTAGCAGACCTCAATTATGAAAAATGTCAATATTATCACGATCTAATAGTGTACAAATATGTCACAGTCGCCTATTGGCAAAATAATGCTTCATTTTGGTTGATTGGACAGTGTGTGAGAAGGCCGTCAGTATTGTGTTCGTCAAATAATAGACAATCATATTGCGTCCTTAATCCGCATTATATAGACAATCGCATGAACACCTAACGATCAGATAACAGCTTTGTCCAAGATCGTTGAAAAAAGGCGAACGTTATGTCACTTAGCAACGATTGAAGCACCAAAATGTCAGTGGTCTATTTATTTATGCGTGCGTGTACTTACAACACCGTAATGTATGAAGTGTAATGACGGGCCATGTAACGCGACAGGTGTCCTTCGTGTCAATGTGTGTGTATTCTGCGTGTAAGTGCGCCACAGGGGTTGTTCAAAAGACTATTAATTATTTTTATTTTTTATTATCAGGCAACTAGGCATTTTTTTTTGATATACATACCTTACAGACTAACATAAATACTTTAATATATAATTGATTTCAGTAAATAAACTGAAGCCTATGTTAGTATGTTAGTTATGTCCACCATTTTTTCATTATCCTTGGCTTTGTACATAAATCAATTTCTCATATATAGTATTAATCGTGTACACATACACAAGGACATGTGGACTTCAATGATAAAGCATATTGTTATGTGTTATAACCAAGTCATTAATGACATATAGCTATTAACTACTAGGATATGGATTAGGAAATTGGCGAGATAGCTATTATCAGCCGATCAAAGGGCTAATAAGTCTTTGATTGGTGACCTATATAGATATAATATTATAATGAGCTTAGTAAACAAACAGGACTTATGCATATAAGAAAAATTGACTTACTCTTTGACGCGGAATCATGTTGAACATGTTGTTTGAACCTAAAATTGGATTCTAAAATGTATTATATTCTTATCTTCTCTCTTTCTTGACTTTGCACTTACTTGGCGACAAATGTGACCGCAGTGCACACCTCCACTACATTTCAACTTGTCAACCGTACTTTAAGAGAGATGTGGAGATCTTCTTTAAAATTTTATGTACCGTTAATCTTGATACAACAAAATAAAATCCAGGTCACCAAAATGTAGCTAAAAGATGTAAAGGTGAACTAACCAATATCTTTTTAAAGGGTAAATTTAAAACATAGTTTTGGGTAAGTATATCAGCTAGTCTCAATAATCTATGTGATGGTGAATTAGGTAACTAGATAGACTAGATATAGAAGTATAAGCTGTTTAGTTTAGAGTAAATTTAATGATGAAAAGGTCAACACTTTTAACTAATTCTATAACTTGTTAAACTAATACTATGGCGTATTTTTGAATAAATTTGAGCAAGAATTTTCTTTAAACGTAGTTGAATATATACATCGATACAGTTCTGTAAACATAGATAGTACCTTCATATGAGCATAATGTAACCTGAACTATCAATAACTTTGTAAATATTCGTTTATATGTATAAATCACCGATTACCGAAATCACAAGGGTGATTCTAGGAGAAAACCGACATTCTACAAAGATTAGAAATGCCATCAGCTACAAGATTTTGTCTTTGTCATAATGAAGTCTTAAGTTTGATATTGTTGTTATCAATGGCTACTAAAAATGGAGACTGAAATCACATTGTAGTTGCGTTTACAAACTTAAACATATCGGACAACATCGGATTCAGAACAACTAAATGTTGTTGTACAGAAGCCCTTACTTTATTACGTCTTTTTGGTCCCACTAAAGCTATAAAATAGCGCTAGCCAGGCGGAAAGGAGAGTGCGGCCGACTGAATATCACGCCAGACAGCTCATACGTTTTTCGCGACAAACGAGAAAACTGCAGCCTACTGTTTCATCATAGCCGAAAGTTGACTGCGGTATCCGCAAACGACTACAAAAAATCATGCAAATTTAAAACCATTCCTCTTATTGCATTCAGAAATTATACTATTAAAAATTGCAATCTGCTCTGATGAACGTTAAACATTAAAATAATATTGATATTCACGCTACGACTCATTTTTGGTAAAACTATTTGGTTTGTCAAATTGCATGTCTGTACCGATCAAAATTTTCCCGTATCCCGGGGCATGCCCTTTGGCTTTACCTACGAAATCTGCATAAATTGTGAGAGTGCATCTGAATAAGCGACAATTTCCACCGCAATATACACTGAGCTTTTGCCTTCCTGAAACGCTCCATCAGTCGATGAATTACAGCATGATTGATTCATTCATGAGCCGATGAACCAAGTAGCAACCACAGTCGCGAACAGGTCAACTGTTTTCTCTGTTGCAATGAAAATTGTTAGTATTCTTTAGAAAAAACAAAAATAAAAGTTACATTATATTTTTAATATGACTTTTATTGCAAAATAACTTTTCTCTATACCAAGACTACTCGAAGCGAGTGCAGAAATTGACAAAATAGTTCGATAGCAATGCAATACCGCAATAACCTTATGATTAAAAATATCTGCTGCAGTCAAGAATTCCTGATCTGAGAGAAATGACGTTATGGAGAGATAACGAGAGGAAATAAATAAAATTGTGATGTGATGTGAAAGGAAATAAGGATATCCAGGCCAGACCTAACTTGTTAGTTATTGGGAGCTAAATCAACATTCTAAGTCCTGGCATTTAAAATAGATATAACAAATTGGGAAACATATTTGTTTAATAAACTTACACAGATTTCAGATATGAATTGAAACTGTTACACTAACCTGAAATTAATTAATTTTTAATGAACATATAACCTATTCATCCGTTTTGTAACGAGCCATTACTGTTTACTTTTTATTGTTACGATAAATAAATATTGTGCGAACAAACGTAGAAAGGCAAACATCGATATTGTTATTTTTCACCCGTAGGCCTGATTAAACTACAACTTGTAATTACGTAACCATGCAAGGTGAAAGTAATGTAAAGGAAAACATTAATTAATCCAATACTGGCGCAGGTACTGAAATCAGTTGTAGCCCAGTAATAATTGAAATTATCTTTCTAATAAGATTCGCTTGCTGTTCGCAAGCCGCGTTCTCGAGAACACTCACAAAATGTTAAGCCACATTTGATTATAACCAGTAACGAGCATATTTAAGCAAATAACATTTTATTATCTAAATATCAGGAATCAATATTCAGGTTCACAATTAAAAATGTTAAGTCCATGCCTATCATATTTTTAAGTATGGACTGAGGTCGCCTACCTACACTGTTTAAACACAATCACAAAAGATAAGGCCACCACATGAAAGGTCAGAGTAATCTCGTTTCACAAAATAATTATCACATTACAAGGACCTTAAGTACCTATGATTATGTGAAAATCCGAAATATTGTCATGTTACTAAACTAAACCCTTTCTCGTGTTGTTTGCTGTCTCCCGGGAACCCTGACCCATTTCCATATCTAATTCGGCCATCCGTGAAATATCAGGACGTGAAATGACAGCCACTAAAGCTATAAAGCTAAGGACAAATTCTTTATCATTTCATTTGCGACTTCACTGATAATTACCAAGCAATCAATTGGTTTTTCAAATTCATTAAAAATCCACAATTCTAGTATCCACAATATTTATGGCAAGTATTTACCATATTAATTTTATACATACACCATATTAACAAGAAACCAATTTTTATGAGATAGAAAAAACATTTATTAATAATGTTTCCAACCATGAACGGCATTAAACTCTCGGTATCGAATTACGCGAATTTCTTCAACATAATACAATTAAGGACAATTATGTGATCCATTATTGGAATCGTGCTTATACCTACGCAAACTCCGTTTTATCGTACAAAACATTTTATTTTATTACTCTCTTAATAAAATAATTTTACTCAATTGCGATTCGGTAACATTCACAATAAATGGCAAATGTTAAAAAAATATCACTTTTTGTTCGCCGAGCCCGGCGGCGGCAAACTGCATTACGGTACGATACATATTGTGTTTACTTATTCAAAACTAGCGTTTCGGTCGCGGTTTCATTCACATAAATTCTTTTCATGGCGTTTTAAATTAATTCTGCAGTTGAGTTCGGTGGAAACAAACTCAAAAAATTTAACAAACATCGAAAAAAAGATTTAGTAACTAAATTTTGGTAGTAATCTGATTATACATTACTAGTATCCAAGTTCATCCAGCCTTAGATAACACACGAAAAATTAACCATCTAATTTCACTTTGATTAAATAATGTCTAGATTTGTTTAAGGGGGGAAAAATCATCGAATCACTGTTACCGCCTGGGTGAGGCGGGAGGGAGTATCAGACTCTTACTGACTAAAAACCACCCAGTTCCTTCTCCTGCACGTCGAGCCGGAGCCCCGGTAACCCGCCGTTAGGTTCTCCGCGACTATAATGTCTAGATAGAGCGTCACCATACAATAGCAACAAAAATGACGGTCTAAAATTTTAGCAAAAATGATACCAACTACGAAAAAAATTCTCCCAACAAATTCATATTTCCTATAAATATTTGGGTGCATATACCAGACCATTCATAAGTAAAATATAAAAAAATTGTAGCCATCTCTTTGAATATAATCTTAAAGTTTTTTTATTGGACAGTTTGTTGATATTCACGTTCTGTCGTATAAGGAATTCATTTTCCGTATGAAAAGAATAATTAAATATTCATATTAAGAGATTTTTAACATTATTTCTATAAAACCAATTTATAAAATATTATTGCAGTTACATCTTTTCCATCAAAAAATATAACTTCGATTGATTCGAACTTAATAAGGATCGAAACCAACCTTCTTTAAGTCGGTTAGAAAAAATAGTACATTAAAGCGTGAGTGTTAGTTCAATAAATAATAAACATATTATTTTATTTTTAATTTACAAACAATTGAGATTTTTTGACAATTTTTCCCCTTTTGGGACCCGTGAGAAGGGAATATTGAAAAATAAATTGACAACACTGACGATAAAATATGGCGGCAAAGGTTAAAAACATAAATTGAATAATGTAATTTTTAATTACTTAGCGATGGATAAGTGATCTGTTTACTCCATTTTAGTCGTCATTTATAATTTTGTGCAGTTTTATGGAGCATGCATCTTAACAGTGTACTTTTTTGTTTACAAATTTATTTTGTAGCGTGTATGCACGTAGTAACGCCTAGGTGACACGATTGGTACTACTTGACGGAATCACGGGAAAGTGAATTGCAGTGAACAGTTCAATTTTTAACACGCATATTTATTGGGCCGCTTTTCGTGAACTGACACTCCATCTAGACATTTAATAATCAAAGCTAATTTCATTTAGTCTTTTAGGAATCGGTTATTCATATCGGCGATTTGAGATATTCCACCCAAGTGTTGTACATAAAATTTCTTTGTAGGTAATGTACAGACTCCTCTAAAATACCTCAATTGCCTTAATAATTTAGCATAGACAAACACTACCTACGCATTACATTCTTTATAGTTCACACAGATCAGTTATGTGGCATTTGATTTTTTTTCTATTGTATGGCGAATATTCCATCGGGACCACTCCCGATGGGAAAGACATTTTCATTACTGTAGAAGGAAAACTCGAATGATGCTATCCTTGTCATTTAGAGCGTGACGTCACTGACATGTCATTTGTTTTTCTTTTTTTATTTGTACTGCGATTTATCAGTCTTGGCGAACACCATGTGACATGGGTCAAAATGCATTGGTAAACTCATTTTTATTATTGTTACTTTCGTGATTTGTTCAGGTTTTAATGACCACTGACATTGTACAAACCTTTAGAACGCGTACGAGAGGCAGAAGCCAACTCAAAGGCCCATTGAATTTTAATAGAAATGAAATGAGACATCATACTTCGTTTAATATTTATCTACTATGCGGAGAACAAACAAAGAAAACTGTTAAATACCATCCGTTAATATATCTTGATATCGGATTAGTCCACTCGCCCGATATTAATCCTAAAATAATGTCACGTGTCTGGAACCTATTAAAGTATTTCGTGTCAGATAAGAATTTCAGGTCACCTATATCGAGTTTGAAAATAACCTCAACCTTGGAAATCGTCGCGATAGAAGACAGCACTATTTCCAATTTGGCCTCCTTTTAATTGGCATTGATAAAAAGATTTCGAATTCTGAATAGCTTTGATTGCATTGAATTCAAAGGGGATACAGATGGGAACAAGTTCAGTCTTTGTAAACTTCATTAATTAGAGAAAATTCTTTTACATTTTTCTAGTAGAGGTACTTTACGAAGGGTATTCGCGTAATTTAATAAACTAAAATATTAACCGTTCTAATGAACTAGATTGAGAAAATATTGAGAAATTGGAAAATAATCTCCTGAGAAAAATTTCTTCCTTTAACCCGTTATAGAGATTAATCTGTCCTTTTTTCTGCGTGTCTAAAATATTTTCTGTCGCGTAAAAACCAGAATTATCACGTAAACATTTTGGCTGGTAGAAAATTAAATTCAAAAAGAACCAAGAACTTTAAAAAGCAATTAGTGACTTTTGTTTGCCAATTACGTAATCACTAGAATTTGCCGTGGAAGTACTTTTTGTAGCAAAGAAAAAGAGATTCTTTATCTTAATTGGAAATAAATCTGTTGCAATTTGAAGGAGCTCTTGCATTCAATCTTACTACAAACGAACTTGCTCTTCTAGAATTGGAAACAATTAAACTATTTAACGATGGTGCTCTCAGCATAGCTCTTGTGCTTTTTTCTATTGTTACAATTGCAGGAAAAATCTAGATTTATTTTGTCGCAGGCGAAGATAGCGACACGGCGGATACCGACGGCAGACTATCTTCCGAGTGCTCGCCGTTACCGCAGCGTCGGGGTGGAATATTAAAAGGGGGGAGGCTTTGGAAGTCGTTGGACACAGACAAGGACATAAATGAACAGGTTATTACATTTTATTAAGCGATTAAACTACACAAATGTACAAGTTTATTGGTCTTTGTTCAGTACAGTTAAACGGAAACCCATTCAGTTAAGTGCACTAAATTAATTACTAAACTTCCACTACACTAATTACCTAACCGACTGCATGTATACTTATAAGAACTAAACTGGAAAGGTGGAAAAAAATATACAGCATTTACTAATATGCGCAAATAAATACATAGGTACGATATGAACAATATTCTTTTTGGTTCATCCAGTGATATAACTAATGATATTTCTAACAACAGAATGATGATCAGCGGTCCACAACCACTGCCAGCGACGAAGACGGTTCCATCACACCACGGTCTGTACGATTTTTAGAAAGACCAAAAGATTCAGAGGAGGAGCATCCAAAGAAAGAACCAGAAGCGGTTCACACTCAAACAGAAAATAATGAAACTACAACACAACAAAAGGAATATAACTCCACAAGTGGAACTCACAGGTATAGGAATATTAAATGTACAAAGAGGTCCGATGTTCGATACGTATTCATTTCATTCACGTTGGTGATATAAGTTAATTGAAAAAGTTATCAGAATTTCACGCGGCATTTGCTCGACAAACAAAAATATTAAAAGTCATTTATACAATTGAACAAATAGCATCGTACCTCTTCAATCTTCCATGAGTCATTCTTCAGTTATGCTGTTCAATTATCACGTCTGAGTATTTTTACACATTTTCCTGGTTTATTTTGTATAGTTTAAGTTCGAATTCAATACATTGTAAAACATATAATCGTTGATAACTTATGTTAAACAAACACACTAATAAAATATTTGTCTAATTGACAGGTTTCACCGACAAAAGTTTGTCTCTATCCGTTTGCAATTTAAAATTTTCTCGACTTTAACAAATAATTATGATTATCTTGTCTTTTGTTGTTTATAGAAACATGAAAAAGTAAGCTGTTGTTTTAGGATTATAGTATTATCTCAATTTGAAGTGGCGTATTTTATAAAAATCCCAAGTGATAATTGTTGTGACCTCCAGACTTGACATTTAAAATTAATTATGAACAAGTTTCAGGGAGAACGCTATAATTTCACCTTTTAATTTTGTAAATATTTTATTAAAGCAGTGTTAAACGTTTTATTTGCTGCTAGTTAGTTTTCAAACATCACTCGACCACGACACCACACGGTGGCTGCATCGACACTTTATGGCATCGACACGAGTGACATTATGGCACGTTTCAAACTTATGTCGGGCAAAAAGTTCAGTTATGATCGTGCTTCTTGGAAGTATGGCAACTTAATTGCTGGTAAAATATTATTTAAACTTCATAGCTTCTTTTAAATACACGACACCTACAAAAACAAGAGTGGTCGGTACATTTGGTGATCATCATGATGAATCATAACTTTAATTGGCAATATAGTTTAATATTTTTCCTTCAAGATAACAATAGTAATCCACGATGATGTTTTATTAAAACTACAAACATTTTATAACTTACAAGTAACATAAATTACAATTCTTTGAAAGCTTAATTCAAACAGTTTTTATTTGCGATCAAAGCCTAGAGAAAATTAATAAAGACCAACTCGGGCGTCGTAACTAACACAACAGCGGTAATTTAATTAAATGTAGGTACTATATTTATAGGAGAAATTGCATTACTTTTGAGCAATGCATGTTGGTATTATTGATAACATAAATGCAACCGCAGACCGCAGATATTTCACTTTAGCAAACCAGAGAGCAAATATGTTATCTGAGATCGTATTTACTGTCTTTGCTAAAGATATAGTGTATGTTAATATTAGCATTGTATATCTGTGTGACAGTTAATTAACCGCTCGCATTGATTGGGAATTTCATATTGGATCCGACAATATAATGTTAGTTAGTCACTATGTCGTCCCTTATTGCCAGTTAATTTAATAAACAGTGCATTTGAAACGTAATTATATATACTATTACGCACATAATATTACGTCAAATTTAAAAATGTTTATGTGTATAAAGTACCACATACATTTCTGCACTACCCACAGGATGACTGACAGAGAATGCTGTTAGCATTTAGTCGTCCTTACGCAATTGTGTAAAACTTAAAAATATATATATATAAAATTCAGTCCCACAGCAAATAACATACTTAGGTACTGGCACTTAACTGTTATTTACAACCGTTTCTGTACTTAATATTTTCCACAAATAAAGCCGTAAGCTTGAAAAATTAATAGCAAGTCAGAAAATTGTACGTTTTACTCTCATTGCTTGAATAAATATCAAATTTGTTTTACTCTTTAAAAGGCTTGCCAGACTGCTAACGCAAATTATTAGCTTTGAGTTGCGCCAACAGCAAAAGTCATATATTATTACCAGCTTAGTTTTTAAATATTTCAAATCATGAGTTATTTTCATTAAAATAAATGAGAAACACCTTTTTCTTCGTTTTACAATTGTATATACCCAGTTAAACTGGTGGAGGAGAGTATTTCATAGACAGGATTACAAGGTAAAGCTCTATTGCTGCATTGTTCTAACGCTTACTATTTCCGATAGACTGGAGACGCCACTCATCCTAACGATCAACGCGCCCAAAGCTAATTCGGCGGTTCAGCAGTTGTTCAACAGCGGCAGACCGCCACCGCCCGCCATCGAACCACAGTTAGTCACTTCTGAAACGCTGAGGTATGAACGCTTCATTTACTTTGCTAGTTTTTCAACCCTTTGTTTTTGGACGTTATTTTTATTTCGTTATCTTTTGTTTTGCTGCTGTCGTCGTAGTCTGTTGCTTGTTTTCTTTATCAGATTATGAACATTATTTCATTAAGTTTTTTTTCTCATTCACCTAGGGCATGGGATGCGGGCGTCAGACCCAAGACTGAGGAGGCAGCGGTACGCCGCGTAGCTGAAAGAAATGCATTACGCTGCTCTTTACTCCGTAGCGAAGCCAGGAAAAAACAGCAACCAAAGGTATGTTCAGTCTATTACTTTACATCTTATTAGCATTTTTAACTAGGATCATAATGAAGCCACCTTCGAAATCAACTTCATGTACAAAACTAATTTGACTAACAAATCTCTTACGTAAACTAGTATAGTTTGCAATGTAGTAGTAAACACAGCAGTTACATAACCCGACATGTTTAACTGTTTACCTTCTGATGTTAAGGAATTGTGCGGTATCTGTGCAGATTAGTTGTTAGTAACTAACTCACAACGCTTTATTTGCTGGGCTACTGTTGAACTACATTAGTTTAGCTCCATTGGCAATTAACAGAAATGGTGAGTTGGTAATTCCCACTGATATTTAACTGAACATTATTCCAGTTCATTTTAGTTTTCAGTGGACTTTGCGACTACGTGGAAATTTGAGTTTTTGGAACTAAACGAACAAACATGGAAGTAACACGAAGGTAGTAATTAAGTTGCATTCGCAATATTGCTTTCAGTGAAATAAGCCTTACAGAGCAGAAATCCAATGTTAAATGTAAATATTCCTATAGCTAATATTTCAACGTTAACATGTCTGAATGTTAGTGTATATTAGCTTTTAATAAAGACATTGGATGGGACGGTATCAATGAATTGAATACCTATTTCAAGCCCAGGTTGTCGTTATTTGCAAGTGCAAATTATATGTGCATGGATTTTATATGTACTATACGATGGTAGTGGGCTCTTGTATATATGTATATTAAACTCAAGCGTAATAAAAGTCTTAAACTAAACGAACTATAACATATTTTAGTCATTGAATTGCTATTTAATTTAAACTAGATAGCTGGGGTCAGTCCATAAATTGGCGAATATTCAGATAGTTCAGGGTTTCGGGCGGCAGTTTGTCCGTCATTCATTACGAAAGCAAGTTTGAGTACCGAACCCGACCTAGTTGTAAAAAGGAGACTTCTTCACAAAGTAGGAAAAAGGTCATAAATCATTTTATTTTTCTGAAATGTGATTGCGTCAGAATCTAAATAGAACGTCTTAGTACACGGTGATTGTAAAGATATCGTTATCCAGCCACAATAGTCGTTGGTCTTAGCTATAAAACAACAACATATTACAAAACAAATAAATTTATATTATTTTAAGTCTTCTATATTTTCTGGTAGCAAAACAGCATCAATATTATGTCATTATTGATCTTAAGGAATTTAAAATGTAAATAGATTGCATATTAAATAAGATATTTTAATTTAAAATTACGTAAATAGTCAATTGATTGGTTTTGGCTAGGTAGATATAAATATATAAAACCGCATGGGATCCAAACTTGATCTCATTTTCTTGGTTGGATGAGCAAGAGGTTCCCAACGTCTTAATTATCAAGTTAGCTGGTAAGGTCAAGAAGCAAATCAAACTTATGAAATTTAATATTTAAGGTTAATATAAAGGTAGTGAAGTTTATTATATATCTACCTAAATATAATATATCGTACATATAGGCCACATAATATGGTTTTCCATAATGTGCAAACACAAGAACCACCTCATAAATTTTTCCCACGTGTAATAGCGGTTTCAGCTAATTTCAACCATCGATAGTGTAGTTACAGCGTAAGGTCCACAGCGGGCAACCTAACATTGGACAAACTTATATTTGCGTTTGGTACAGTAACTGTGTTTAGGGATCGAGCCACCCAATTAAGTTTGTTTTAGGACACACACTTTTTCAGGGATAAAAATTACTCAGTTTGATGCCCAAAATATTAAAGTTTTAAAGTCATATTAACTTTCACCGTAATCGGTATGGTAATTTTTGCGTGATGGAAAAATACGAGATATAAAAAAATGGATGAAAAGTATACTATCACCAGCCCAGGAGAATGAAAAATATTTGTACCAAATTTCGTTAAAATCCGTCGACTAGTTTTTGTTTCTATAACGGTTATACAGATAGACAGACAAAAAATTTACTGGTTGGATTTTTGGCATTACTTTCGACCCCTAATCACCCTCTGATAGTTGTTTCGGAAATATATTTCATGTATAGAATGTGCCCCTATAAACATCCGTCGTGTGAGCTACCTTTGTAGTAACATACAAGTAAATTGCACAGCCCGTATGAACAATTGAGCTGTCGACAATGCAGCTAACGATGTTCGATTTCAACTCCTAGTAGAACAGAATACAATATGCAAATATAATCAGAATGCTCAGTATAATCAGAATCTGGAATGAAGCCGAAATTTTTATAATAGAATGGGCTCGTGGTCAGCGAATTTTCTGCAAATTCTGTTTTTTCCTTGACGTACCGCGAAACTTGCACTAATGGTAGTTAAAAGTAGTATGTACGAACAGCCAGAAGTTATATTCATATCCTTAATGCTTCTAATATATAACGCGATTTAATTATGCACTTTTTGCTTGACTTCTTAACAACCTACTTAACTTTAGCTCTGATGATGATTATTTGACCAATTCCAATTCATTGTGCCAAGTATGTATGTACATAATAGAGTACCTATTACTGACGATCCATGCTTCATATTTAGGTATGTAGTAACTAATTCAGGAAAAAAACTAAAAATTAATGTTTAGTAAAAAGCCGTATAATAAAAGTACAGAATACAATAAAAGTTATAATATATTATTCCTTTCTAACAATTTCTATATTATACAAAATGGCAAAAAGTTATGGCGGCCGATGTCACGGTGTAGGGTACCCATCTGTTCGTAATTACAGGATCGTCGTTACGGAAAGTGGGGAACTTTCCTTACTAATTAAAATATAATTTATGGATCGATATTTTAGACCAATACTTAAAATACAAATTGATATTTATTTATTTGCACACAGAGTTACATTACATGCAGACATGGAAGCAAGCAGTTTTCACATAAACACAACCGCGACTGAGGTAACCGTGGGGCCCAAACTAGGCACAGCCTGTGTCTTGGTGGCCCAATATTAGAAGTTTAGGTAGTTCTCGCATCATGATTATGACAAAGTGCAACTATGTAACAGTTAAAGTACCTAATAGTGAAAAGAATAAATAAATACAAATTAGAAAAAACAGATAAATACAGGTAACATACCAAAGGACCATGTTAACATGATATAAATATACTGTGTGAAGCAATACCTACATTTTACATAATCGTAAGAAGACGTCTGCTTCTTGGCCGACTAGATATTTCTACTGATAAATAAGTTAGGTAACATGATTATAGAGAAGTATTTAGTTACTAGGTTTATGATACGATTTTAGGAAAAAATACTTGTTTTAAAAGGCTAGGTACACACAGGTTGGCATAAAATCTAGGTACACTTGTGCTCCCCAAAACACAGGAACGTTGTGTTAAGATTTCTGGGCATCACTCTGACTTACTTACGTACTTATATTGTCACGGAAAATCTAAAAACTCACTTTACGATCTGCAAATACATTTACAACCCTACTTGACAATCAAAGTATTTACTCAAAGCTATAATTTGGGGGAAAGGTATTGTTACGTAGTCATATACGTACCTAATGCCTCCCAAACTCATTCTGTGATTCGTCACCACGGCGCTATGAAGTACCTGACCTGACCTGGTTCCATTTTGAGAGCTTTTACATTCGCTTTGACTTTTACACAACCTTCATATTAATACGCCTCCTAATTACAGAGAAAAGTGCGAGACATTTTCTAAATAGGCCGACGATAGTTGCCTACTTACTTACTCTTGCTTCACCTGCTTCTAGCTATTATTTTAGTTCTATTAATTAACCTGGTAACAATTTTACGAAATTACTACTTCAATCGGATTATGTCATTGATTATGCCGTCAATATATAATATGTAGTACTAACTTTTACCCATGGCTTTGCCCGCGTATTCCTGTTTTATCCAATGGGAATATTTAATCGAGATAAAAGTATTCTATCACCTAACTCAGTCCATACCCTACCTGTATACCAAATTTCATCAAAATCCGTTCAGTAGTTTCAGCGTAATTGACAGAAAAATATCCAAACATCGAAACAAAGAAATTGTCACATATAAAATATTATTAGTGTGATAATGTAGTATTTGAGCAATTCGACTAAAAAGTATTTTTTACACTATAACAAACAATCATTGTAATCTTTCTCAGTAGTATATTAAAACTTTAACGAGACACTTGTTTTTGAGATACAGACAAAGAGTTCAGAAAAGAACGCTATCTAGAATATTGATAAACAAAACTCATGCTGAAATACTCAAACGTCACTAAATTTTAATTCGTGCTTAACCTTTCGTATGTCTAAAATGCGATCCAAGCGAGACACAATGTATCTTGTATTGTGTCTAATATCGATGCATTCAAGAGGTTAAGTATAGTATAGTAAGTCACTACATATTCTTTGTAAAATAACAGAGATGAATGTAAAATGATGATTTGAACTAAAATGGCACGCCATTTAAGTAGGTACAATTTACAATTGAGTAGCCTTACAGTATTCGGGCGTATGACGTCTACATTATTATAATGAAACTGACAGATGTTAGATATTTAAGTTAGTCTTTTAAATAATAAATATGTTCTTATATCGATATTTTTATTTCTTAGTCTCCGCACTATGCGAGTGATATTCGTAGGTGCGCTTCGTGGAATAGAAAAACTATTTATTTAAAATTTTTATTTTAAGCGCACCTACAGGTGCGCAAAGTGGAATACTTTAGGTGCGCTTCGTCTGGGTGCGCTTCATTTAGGTGCGCAAAGTGGAATACCCCCTTCTTACTCCCTTAATTCCCAGGCCTGCTCAAGTAAATTGGCGACTTCGAACTTACAACTAGAAATTATAAATAAGTCCAGGTGTCTCACGATGTCTTCCTTCACCGACTTAAACTATACTAGGCACCGACATTTAATATCGATTTAAAGTTTTTATCTCGTTTGCGTGTTCGAATTTCGACCTAACTATATACGAATACTTGAATAGGAGTTTTAAAGTGTACTTTAGTTCGTTCGAGGAATTTTATTGGTACGAGTTGTTTGAAGTGTTTCAAAACAAAGCGCACATTCGGATCTATTACGCCATAAGGCACCAGTTAAACGGAACAGTAAATATAATAAACATTTTGGTGCCAACAGCTTCTTATTTCCATCTGTCTGTCATAAATTTAGTTAATTCTCTATCTCATGTTCTAGATATCGAAAATTCTTATCGGAGATATACTTGTGATAAAAATTAAAGTCCAAAGCGTTCCGAATTCCCGATAGCATACGTTGCATATAAAATGTGCTATCATACAGTAAGTAAAATAGATAACTATTTACTCGTGGCTACTAGACCTCATGATGATACCCAAATCACACAGCTAACTAATGCAGAAACTATAACACTAATTACCCATTAGACATAGCAATGTATGTCGGTAATAGAATGGAAAACGCCATCGTTATGGATATGTATACCTATAAACCTTGATAGTCGTAGCACCTAAACAGTCAGATTGATTGTGACTAATTAATATCTGTCAATTTATCTTAACACATGAATACGTCATTCATTCCCTTGCTCCTAATGTAAAGACTGTATTCTCCATATGAAGAGTGATATTACTTACTTACTCCTAATGAAGAGTGGTATTGGTAATACGTATCCGTGTTAAAATAAACAATTACCTACTGCATTTATCATTAATCCTTCTCGTAGTTATCAAAAATCTCTGCATCGATCTAAGTTTATCACAAAAACCCTATGCAATTAATATCAAAATTCAATCTCAGTTAATCCATTTCGATTGTGAAAGTGTAACCACCTTTGAAAAACTCCAACAGCAGCACTCCCTGGTAAACCTGTACCGTCCAAACTACGATCTCCAAGCCACTTCCATGTCAAAAGTGGAGACAACAGCAATACCTCTTGTATGTAGACAAGGCCCATCATCGTCAGAAGAATGACCGTGGACTGTCAGCATCGACTACCGTGTTTTATAACAATAAATGTTATATTCGGATCAATATCATAAAGAAATATCAGCCACAACATATCAACAAAAAAGCTTATGAAATACCATTAATGTAATAAATCATATGTTTGTACAATGTACATACTATAAATATTTCAACTAATGTAATTGGATAAGTCATCGACATTCTAATATTACCCTGAGTATATGATTGAACTCAGTCAATGACATTTTATTCTTACAACTTATCGGATTAGGGTCGTCTCCATTTATATACGATATTCTCTATCCATTGCGTAACAATCTCGTAGTCGACAAAAGCGAAAAGCAAACTATATTACTTTATTATTTTAAGAAGCATTCAGTGGCCTGCAATATTGTAGTTCCTATTCCTTTAGCGATACTCTGCAATAATATTCGTACAATACTTTACAAAGAATGGTAAAATTTAATATTAAAATACCAGACTTAAGAATAAAATGGGAGAGATTAAAAACGATGAACATTCCTTAACGGACGCAAGGAACCTGCACCTTGCCTTTCCAGCAGAGGGGTACATGTTGGATACCATCTGTATTTTACGTGTTATGGTTTTCATAATTAAACGTATCTATTTCTTGATAAGTACAAATTACTAAGAAATGTATTCGATTTTGTATATTTTTTTTCTTTGCTTTATATTGTGTATAAATTATATGATTCGTAAGAAAGAATCCTGGTAATATGCCATTTAATTGTTGTTATGTTTATTTCAATAAAATCTATTTCATCTGCCAATCCAACAGTTTAGTACTTACCTACGAATAATCAAATTTATCTAAGTAGGTAACGTTCTATTTAAATAGTTTGAATTTATCAAACAAAATATCTATTGTGCCACACCTGCTATTATGAACCTCGTGTCTAATGCAAAAGTGTATGAAGTATGCGTAACTGAAAAGTTTTGCCGGGGATTTGAAAGCCTTTAACCTAACTCAGCCACATACATATTTGTCTGTAAACGAAACGCAATGTTGGAAACTACTAAACTGACAGTATAGTTCAGGCAGGCATTTCATAGGTTTCCAGGAAGAGACAATAGCATACCGCATACGACAATCCTTAACATACATTTAACCTACAGCATCACATAAACATGTTAACCATTGGTGTAAAATATAACTTATGAGGAAACTTAACTGTAAGTTAAGAAAACTAGAAATAGCTTTGGTTTGCGGAGCGGATTTTACTTGGTTGGATCGTTAGTTACCTTACACAACTTACACAAATAAACAATTTTATTCTAGGAAACAGCTACACTATAACTGTTGCCGTACACAGAATCTATGAGTAGATACTAAATTACCGTTTAATACTTAGATACAGAAATAAAATTCAAACAAAAACATGGATTTATCGTTTGCTAATTGACTTGTAGCTATCGTTAATTTAGTTCATTTCGCTCAGTTTCCCGAGCATCCAGAATCAATTGAACGTAAAAATAATTGTGGATTGAATTCACTTCTGATGAATTTTATCTTTAAAATTTTAATTGAGTGTAAATCAGACACATTATTGCAATACATTTTAACGAACACGCTCTGTGGTTTATTCAATTAAATATTAACTTATGTCTGTATGTGTCTATTAAGTAAAATAAACTTTCAAATTATAAGCACGATTTTAATTAATACTTTTTCAAATTATAAGTTTTCGTTTTATATTATTTCAAAAAATAAAACTGGGTAAATAATGAGAGCTGCAGTTCAACTTTTCTACTGACTGGATAAATAAAACTGACTGAAAAAGTGACAAGCAATATTGCTTTTATTCACGTCGATGCATTATTTCTACGTTCATGTCAGTTTTATAGCAACGTGACAGCTTTATCCAGTTTTATTAAATATTTTGCATTGTCTCTCCAACTATAAACACCGTTCCTAGATAAGGCTCCCAGATCAATTGCATGTCGGCCACGCTTACAGGATAGATAAAGTTTTAAACATGTTATCTTGAGTTAAAGAATACAATTCAAGTGCAACACTATGAATACAATATAGTATGAAGCCCTATTAGAAACATATATTGTAAATATATTCTAGTTGATTATCTGGTTTAGAATTATAGCTATTCTTGTAGCATTCAAATCACTTGGAGCAAATTCCCAACTAAGAATCGTCGTTGGCAATTCATACAACGTGAGACGGGAAACTTCTATTGTTACTATTGTCTTGCAGCCGATGAAACAATTTGCTCAGTATTGTCGACTAACAATACGTCCTCCTTCCAGCAGGAAACGACGTCCCTCGCCGAGCGCATTCGTTTACTGACTTGTGATGTCGAAGATGAGCCGGAGGAGCAGAGAGCATCGCCCGCCGGAGCCAATGTCGACAAGATGTCGAGCAGCAGCGACAAATCGAGCGACAAGTCCTACAATAGTATCGACAAAAACAGCGAGAAAGCTTTCGGCAGCGCATCGTCGAGCTCGTCGTCATCGACAATATCAGTGCCCCTGCCCACACGCCAGCTTCCCCCCGACTTGGGTGACGTACATCAGGAGCCACAAAAGGTAAGGTTCTTTGTGAAAATGACAAACACCGTGGGTGTATGAGATTTTCTCCACTTAATCAAACTGTCTTATGTCGTCGTATAACAAATTGTTCTTGTTTTCTTACGACGGTTAAGTATGTGAATAATTAACGCGACCAGAGGGGTTGGAAATGTGTCAAAGGCTTTGTAATTTGATGCTGGGAAGCAGCGCGTTTTAATTTACCGCTTGTGATAAAACTAGCATACCTAGGTATTGTGTACCTACTGAACTTTTATCTCATGCTGTAGAACACGTTAAACATGGCTGCAAATTCTAGTTATACGTTTAGGTTATAAGCAATCGGACATTATTGTGTAAATACTTACTGGACAATTATCTTTTTATTTTAATTATTACTATCAAATAGTTAGAACCTTTTACACTGCGTAAGCACCTACTTACTTATATAATTGAATTGGTGTCTATATAATAAGTCATGTTATCTGTGGAATATGTCCCACTTGTATCCGATTGTTTTCGCCGGCACTATTGTTGTGATTGGGCTTGTAGTTTTCTAAAAAAATAAAAGTAATCTCTGCATAAAATAGATTTCAAAAATAAAAGTAATGGTTTCAAGTAAACTTATGGTTGTTCACATAACAAAAGCGTATGTGAAATTGAGAAACTACAGTGTAATTTTTTCAACGGGTGGAGTTCAACTATAACTATAGTCTAACTAAAGACGACTAAAAGAACTAGGAGTAAACTATTGAACTCAACTTTTACTTGTAATACACCTTGTGTTGTTAAATTATTACCTTTGCGAAAACTATAAGAAGGAACGTGACTTTGCAAAATGGAACAATTTAAAAATGTACGTACATAAAAGAGCGTACTTGCTTTTCTACGTCGGATTATATTGCACACCACACAATGAGAAGTACACCGTTTTCTTCGAGTGCTAGTGTAACATTACTACATTTTGTATTTCTATTTACAAAAATGCATATTCCCACAGCCAAAGTCAGAACCGAGGCGACAGTTCCTATCTACACTAGCTCCGTTGACCGCCTGCGTGGGAAGTGCAGCTCATCACGAGGGCTTCTACTACGTACCTCCTGGAGATCGTACGTCGGCATCATCAGCCACTAACCTAGACTTACAGGAGCATACAGACGCTCCAGCACCGGACGTAGTTGCAGGAACTCCTGGTAAGCGAGCAGGCCTGTCGGCCGATCAACACGAATTTTGTCAAACACCATACAATAAAGTGTAAAGTATTTTCTAATAAACCTGTCGTAACTATTTTAATCGCTTCACCAACAAACACTATCTCGTAAATTGATCTTAAGTGATAGACCATTCATCCAATACAAAGTAAAACAGCGACGGACCGAAAAGTGAAATGTGTGCATCAATTTGTTATTCATGTCGTTGTCTGCACTGTTCTGGTACTTGTGAACAAGGATGCACGAACTTTGCCCGCACGGCCAACAACTTTACACAGTTATTCAAACTATTTGCGTTCAGTGCGGTTCAAATTCAGTTGACATTTAACCAATTATTACACTTAACAGCATTCTAATTGATGTAGAGTGGTAAAACATATCATTAAGGTGATTTATTACCCAGATTAACACCTAAAGACAAATTGTATGTATATCAGGAGCTGGTGAAGGCGATGACGGTCTGGCTGCTTTCGCTAGAGCTACTGCTCCAAGGACTGAAAGACTGAGGCAGCGATACGGCCAGGAGTCACAACCCGTCAGCAGCGACGATGAACATGACGACTACGGTATAAATGAGCAAAGACAACGTCATTCACAGATAACCCAATTTATTATTCATATCGCCGAATAAATGTACATTTTAAATATAAAAGTTGCAAAGATCCGCGGCGCACCACCTGGAACAACTCTTAGCTTACCAACCCTAAGCCGAGATTAGAGTAAAATTCTCGGAATATCCTAGAACACGTTAAGTCGACTGTATTTTCTATCTTTTTAACTTCATCCGGAGGAATGCGTCGCTCGATTGCACTGCACATTACAGTTCACTGATATTTTATTGTTAGGGGAACTTGAAATGTTTTCCTTTGTAGAAATGGTAAACAGAAAATGCATTTTTCATTGCAGAGACGCCCAATGTCTTCTAGGTTCCTTTTAACTATCTTAGTGTATGGAATTTTTAATGGTTTCTTTTTTTTCATCTAAAACATTTGTTTTAGGTTTCCATCGTCGACCAGCTGTTCGCGGTATTGCTATAAAGCAGCAGCTTGGCGCATCCGACGATATATTGCAACAAATGCAAAACGAATTGCAGCCATCTCCAGGCACGACACCGCAACAAATGCCGCCTTCCCATGCATGCCAACGCACAAACTCCAACTATTCTTGGCCTTACTATTCTGAAGCCAATCTTAATTCACGGCCGCAAAGCAGAACTAGTGCAAATTCGAACTGGTGAGAAATCTACTAGTTAATTATTCAGTGTATTGTATTTGCTGTCCTTTATTTACGATTCCAATTTATAAATACATCTCCTGTTACAAGTTTTAGGAAATCGAACGAACTTTGGAAAAGTAATCCCGCGGCATGATCTACGAATCTCGGATTCAATTTGAGCACGGGACAATTTTCTTCTTTCTTTATAAGGTTCAATTAAATTCAATTTATTTGCATCAGGTCCAAATCGTCCGACTATATGCCTTCGCGACCGTGCCAGAGTACTCCCGTGCCCCAGCAACACTCGGACGCTTGCTACGCCCACGCACAGAACATGGCGTCCTACGCACATTATCAGCAACAGCGGCAGCAGCAGGAGAGCATGTATCGCAATTGTTCTCTCTACGCCAATATCGGGTAAGACTGACTATTGAATACATTATGAAAGTTTTAACTAAGTGAAAATCTATTGAAAGCAAAATTTACTTAAGACGTGTTAGTGGCAGGAATAAGATTAATAATTTATTGACTGTTTAAAAAAAGCTACTTGCAAAGCACTTTATGCATACATGTTTATTTGACTGACGACTACATTTCATTTCTATTTTTTTTTCAATAATCCCATCCGATGACGTGACATCCAACCCTCGTACGCCTTTCAAAAATCTGGCACCTTGGGGTCCCTTGAAAGAAAATGAACAAACGTTATAATAGGAATTGAACTCACCTCTTCCAGGTGTTCGGACAGCAGCCAGGAGCTATACAGCTCCCAAACGAGCTCGGAACAGACATCTCCGGTGCGCGCTGTGCCTCGATGCCGCCGTCCGGAATCTCCACCACCAATCCGGAGCCACCATCAACTGCTTTACCTGCCATACAGTTCCCACTATCATTACCAACACCATGCAGACTACGGTCAGCAGCAATGGCAGCAGGCTAACGACTGTGAGTTATACGGAAAATGTTCAATCGTATTATCAGTTTGATACTTGGTTTACTAACAATATGTTTTGTGCCCAGACAACCGCATGCACTCGTATTATCAGCAGCAAGCCCGCAGCGGTGCGAGCACGCCGCAACCGGCCGCGGCTCAGCCACAGCGAGCACACTACACACATGCGCTTCAATTACAGGTAAATTTTTATTTCTATGTATACTTCCTTCCCGAATTTAATCCCGATCTCAAACAAATCAACAAACTGCGACTTTCTAATATTTAGCAAACTGTTCTTATTACATCATGTATTTTATTTACCAATACCAATGACAAGTTTCAGCTTTTATTCTGCTTACTGGCGACTATGTTTAAAGCAACTGCTATAATGCCGACTAATAAAAAAATTCTAGCAATTAGAAGTTATGTACGCCAAGCGCGACGACAATAAGCAGCATTTTATTCATTTGTCATCAAATTCGTTTTCAACTTGTTGAATTGCCATTTTTATTGTCGCACGTAAAGAACGCAAACACTTCAAACTTTTGGCAACATGATAAAACAAAAGTAAAGTTACTAAATACCTTATCCATGGAAAATTGAAAACTATACCTACATTGGAAGCGGATTACGTGAACGATACGACGTGAAGTTTGGCTTTACACGGATAAAGTTGTGGGCAACAGTTAGTCATGAAAGCTGCATCTGAGCTCAGGCATCGTGATTTAAGTGATTATCTCATAAAACAACACTGCGAATTCATTTGAAAGCTGTACCTTCGCTAGCCTAATTTTAATTAATGTTATGGAAGGAGAGAGATCAACTTTTCTAAGTTTATTTAGTAGGTGTGAAAGGGTAAACTACCTAGTGTCTTTGCTTTTTGTTGAAAACTGTAAACCAAGAATACCTCTAGCACCTAAGAAGTAAACTTCAGTTTAGCTGTTCCTTGGCTCAAAGTTTAAACGAGTTTCTCGTGAACCATACAAAGTAGTTGCCTCAAATCTTTAGTGAGATTTGAATGTGAATTCTGACTAGTTATTCGGCATTGCTTTTCCGTGAATGTTTTAGAAACTTTTCTGCGAATGCTAATTTGTTTAACTGTCATAAAATAGATAAGTAGAAGATTGCAGTTACGAGTTAAAGTTTAATGTTAGTAGTTTAATTATGTATTAAGTTTTTTAGGTCTGATCTATAACATAATGCTTTTTTTTTATATAGCCTATAAAACACTGAAGTTACGAAGTTTGACTAAAATGAGTTAGAATTTACAAATCTACAAAATAATTGTTTACAGACGCTCTGTCCTGCACCCGCGCGATACAGGCCTGTGCCAGCCCCTCAACCTGGAGGTGGAAAGCAAATGATTTGCTACTCTGAGAAAGTAAGTGCCTATTAAGCTTTGATATACCTAATACTTGTTACCTACTGACAAAGTCTACCTAATAATAATTGTATACGAAAATGAGTATTAATACCTCTAGTCAAAGCTATGTATGTACAAATGCATGAGTCGCTTTTATCTAGATTAATAATGACGCTTTGCACCTATCCCCAGGTGGCGGCTCCGATGTATCAACCGGCACCAGGGTCCCCATCCAGAGCTGCCAGGGGGGCTCCAGAGGGTGCGCCATCTGGAGTATCGGCACAGCAAGCCACGTCACCCATGGCACCTCCCCCTAACCCCGTCTATTATGCCATGAACGTCTGACGGGGGGACTAGGTAAATATTCTACTGATTTATACGTCATCATTTCACTTTATCTCCGTCCATTATTAATAAAAACCGAATATAAAAAACATGATTGCTAGCCTATTAAAATTCTATATTTCCTTCCTTCTGATCGACTAGTCTAAATCCCAGATCCGTCTCATTTATTGTACTATACCTCAATTTCAGGTGAGAATCGTGGTGGGCCCCACAGGAGAGGTCCGTGTCAGTATTCAGCCACCAGAGAACACAGTCATTCCCACAAAGAAAAAATAAAAGTTGTTGTCGATCCCTGCACAAACAGGAGTTTAAAAAATGTTTACCCTAAATGATAACTGTCACGTTAACAGTTATATAATTGTATGTCGATGTATATAAAGTAATTTGTCCATGTTATTATAATTCTTGAGTATCAGAAATGTTTTAGGTGAGAATAATCATAAGATTCATAAGTAGTTCTGTGAATATAAACCTTTTTTGGGACCGATACAACAAAATCACCACGTCTTCGTTGTATAATTATTAATGTAAATAATAATAGTTATATGTGTGTATCTAATCAAGTTTGTGCGTGTTCAGATAAGCAATAATTTATATGCAACTCTTCGCAAATCTCATTTTCTGATTATTATTCTTGTTCTCCTTAAACCAAAATTAATTACCAAAGATTTATTGTGTTACTCTATACCAAATTATATACCAAAGTGTAAAAATATTTTATTTTAAGTTTTTTATGGTAATACTACATTATTATTAATAGAATAGATTGATTGATAAATAATTGCTTTTCTTGTATTCGTAAAACCCATAGATAACAGTTTTAGAGTTCCAAGCTGCTGGGACTTTACACTCTAAATGTTTGCTTCTCAAATAATTGTCATAACATAAAGTACCTATAATATTCCTTAAATAAAATAATAAATATCGTCTGATGTGTTAGTTTATATCTAAGTATGAAGGTTTGTGTAAACTGATGTTGGATTTTGGGTTGCTAGAGACATAACTATGACGAAGATTACATCTCGATAAGGAAAGTGTTCTGAAAAATGAATTGACACGGCCTAGATTAGAAGGTAATGTGATTTATATTTAAATAATTATAATTCATGACCTAAATGAACTTTGAATGCTGGAGAAATAAACCTAGTTATATGAAATATTCCAAAATTTCAGTCTATGAGTAAGTTACGGGATACTTAACATTTTTTCAACACTGTCAATACATTTTTGAAGTGTAATATTGCTCTACAGTGATGCGAACCAATTTTACCGCATTTATAATGTGAATATATAAACTTAATATTTAAAAAATAGATCTCATTGTTGATGTTGTTCGTGAAATGGCCTTATTGGGGCCTACCAGTTAAGTATATATGTAATTAGGTAGGTAAGTATATGCGCTGCGTTTGCAACCCGTTCATTTGCCACTGTTCGTGTAGTAATGAAGTAATGAAACCTTCATTGCTACCTGTTTATTAAATTCATAGGTAATAAAATACCTCATAAAGTAAATGAACGGGTTGTTGCACAGGACACTAATTTCTCTAAGTTTGGCTAATCAATGGACCATTTGTTACCACGCAAATATCCAAACTAGTGCCAAAATAAGTATTAGCGACGTAGTGTTCGAAACAAGAACTATGTTATATGTAAATACCTACGAGATTAGGTTTACGGATTCCTATTGCCGGCCTATAATTCAATTAAGTTAATTTAGGTTACTCGTGTTTGTTTATAAAGTCTGTAAATGGTATAAACCAAGCCACAAACAGTAGAACTTGTAAATTACTCAAAATAAAAAGTATTTCTCGGCTGACTGGACAAAGTGAGGGACACCTCGATTTTCATTAAGATATAATTATCGAGTATTATAAAATTACTTATTATTTAGTATATTTTAAGACAATAACTTTTATGTTTATTACCATAAGATCGCTTTCGCTGATATTACCTATACGTTATTAAAGCAGTAAATATTGTTTTATAATAATAAGATTGGCTTTCATGTGTTTATTGTGTAAATTATTAGATGTAACTTCAGCTTACTGATTAGGAGTGTCTAGAGAAGGCAATCTGTTAACACCACCATAGAAAAAATTAAAGAAAGTTGCACAACTACTAGACCAAAAAGGGAGACCAAAATTGAACCTCATTCCTTTGAAAATAGGTAGAAAACTATTTTTGAGACATCGACACTGGTATCATGCTAATTAACTAACTTACCAATTTAGTGTCATCTCTATAAGAATAGAGATAATGATATAATAATAACAACATACATTACACATTACATATGAATATTGGGCATTTAAAACTCAACTATAAACCTAATGGGTCACTGTTATGATACATTAATTTAATATCTCGTACCTAATCCTAAGATACCATGCATTCACGACGTGTTTTCGTCATGTTTACACAGAAAGAACCTCAGTTATTAAAATTAGTTACAAATTATGTCACCAGTAAGTACCTACTGTAGGTCAACACAAATGTGACTTGCTCAGGCAAAAACGAACTCAACTAATAGCATGTTAGGAAATTAGGCACCCACTAAAGCTACATAACAAGCCCAAGAAATCCTATTAAAAGAATTTCAGTAAATATTTGGGACAAAGATCCTTGTAAAAAGTATTAGGATAAAAATGTGTTATTATTGTAGCGAATGTTGTTACCGGAGAGTAAGAGTAACATATTTTGTAAATTGATGCGATGTAAATAATTAAAAATAAATTAATGTGAAGCCAAATCTGTAGTGTAGAAAGAAAATATTTCAATTCAATTTGACCTAAGTAATACCTATTTTCTAATAAGGTTGTTACTTCATTAGTGAACTTTCTCATGTCTATCATTATTGTTAATCTTAAATGTGTTACTTCATTCCACGACTGTAGAAAAAAACTGTCCTGTGTAGACTCGGAATGTCAATATTACTTACTAAACTTGGTAGATACTAAAATGTCCATAAAATTACACTTAAACATTACAATGTTTAAGTAAACAAATGCTTGAATTGAGGTTTCACATTACATAATTATTTATTTAAGTATAAGTAAAATATCTATTCAAAAGAACTCATTAATCAATGTTTTCGGTCTTGTGATATTGTTGTTTTGCTGCTTAGCAGTTTATTTAGAATTTTTTATATGATTTTAAGAAGAAAATCACATATTAGATATTGTAGATGTTAATCTGCTTATATATTAAGTTGTTTTTAATTAATTGTTATTTGGGATCATGTTACGATGAAAAAGTATTATGAATTTATGATGTTCGCTAAGCTAGTCAAACATATGACCAACTACTATTATATCATAATTGAATGTAATTTACCCCTTGACCGAATGGCAGTAGTGTGATATTGAAAATGTGTAGATGTTATTTGAGATTTTCAATTTGTGTATTACCTATCGGTTACGACCCGTCAATGGTAATCAACCACTATAGCTTAATACATTTATACATCTGCAACACAAGAAGCATCACAAGTCCATTGCAAACTGTGTAGGAAATACGCCATTGTTTCCAGAATTGTCACATGTAAATATTAAACAATGTTTTTTAATAATAATTATAATTCTGAAAGTCCATAGCATTCGGTACACCACAATTGGATGATTTAACTTTTGTTTTTATAAAATCTTACATTGAAGATTATTTGTAAAAAAAGGAAAGAGCTATAGCAGCCTCATTTTATTAATAAATCAACAGTAAATTTCTATTTCATTCACATTCATACATGAATCTCATATTTAGTAGTGAAATTAAATAAAAATAAGAACAAAAGGGATGTTGTGAGTAGCATTACATAGAAATGTAAGCTGTTTATTTTCTCAGACTTATAAGTATTAACACAAAATTTTGATATACAACATAGTAACTTACATATTTGGAATGATGAGTGATTCATACAAATAAAGAGCTCTAATGATGTTAAATGTAACTGCGATTGAGATAGTAAATGGACAAAATCCATTTAAAAAATGTAACTTTCAAAAAGTGTAGTCACAATTGTTAAAAATATGTTTATTGAAATTCTTGAAGTATTGCCTTGATAAATCAATGTAAATACCAAGTAAAACGCACATTACACATGCCAGAGGCAGAAATTGTGATGAGTCACAAACAAGATTCCAAAATCTTTTTTCAAGTCTAAATCTTGATGTTTATTGATTTTTATATAACTTTACACGGTATAGATAGGTGTATATAACAAAATACTAGTTGGCATTATTAATTTTTGCTGGTGGAAATCAATTACTTGAGTATTTTATTGCACTTCTAGTCCTGTATTGTGATGAGACTTGAGCTGATTTATAAAAATGAATACAATTTTCTGTGGAAACTAGGCAAATTAATACAAAGATTCATTAGCTGATAAATGTATAAATGTTTTAATACATCAGTACTCGTTGATCTCATAATATATAGTATTTTATCTTAACAGCTCTTGAAAGTGAGCATTTTTACTAACTTTTGGTCATCAGTATTTAAATAACCATTTTGGGTGTTGTGAATACTTGTATTTATGCATCTTATAATTTCAGATTTTGTGTAGTGGATGTCATTTGATAATAAAATAGTAGGCAAGTTAATGAAAATGCCATCATAATATTAATATTTATTCCTCATGAATTATACTGTCACCTTCAGTGTTCATATGATTTTGTTTTCTAAAACATTATAAAATATATGGGCCTAATCATATCTTTGAAGTAGTCAGTTCATCAACAAATCTTATAGCTTAGTTGGAATTGGGTCGCTCAACAGTGAACATCATTCTTAGACAAGCATTATGTATTAACCCAACTCATAACACTATCTAGGTACTCAGAAATGCCTGAATAGGCCCATTTTACATAATTTTATGTTCTTCAACTACATCTATGTCAGTCATTAGTTCTGGAAGTCATTGCACCATAAATTTATTTAACTTTTTTGAGTTAATTTTATAGTTGTTGATTACTTATAATTTATTACTGTTATTGTACCCTTATAGATTTTATTTCCATTTAATTCATAGGTATTTAATACCAAAATATAATAAATATTATTATATATATGAATAGAGTAATTACTTCTTTCTTTAGATGCTATTATGAATACAGTAGTTATAAATTAAATTGATATATGTATAATGAGTGTTAGGGCAAAAAATCGCCACAAAACGTTTCAAATACCCATGTACAAATGTATTTGTAGATCGGTAAATCAATAAAAAAACATATAAATGAAATTGTTTTATTATTTTAGAATATCCTACATCGCCAAGTACACTAAGTAACTTTAATTACATTATTTTAGTCTAAATATACACAATTTTCCCCAGTTATAGGTATTATGAGTACTTACAACATAAAACTGCAAGGCCGGTCCGTAAACATTTTTGCACTATTATCACTATATATTATAGGGAAAAATACATAAATTTTAAATATAAGTTCCATTCAACCCGGTTGAATGTTTATTTTGATATTTTTCCAGCGAATATTTTGAACCATTTTTAGTTCCTCGATTTTCCGCGAACTGTCACTAATGTCACCCACTGACAGGTTGGCATTGAATTTCAGTATGAACGAAGCCTTTTGAGATTCTACCAACATAATTCCTACCATTTGTTGGGTTCCGTATCCGTACCCAAAGATAAAAACGAAAATCTATTACTGGCATGGCGCGCCAGATGCTAATCGATTTCATACATTTATTATAGTTAGAGCCACAATTCCATGTTGCGTGTGTCGCCAAATGGTTACAGCTGATTGGCCACGCCACTAC